GAGCCGATCCAGAGAAGCAAGCGCTGTTTGGTGCTGCGAAGGAAGTCATCCATTTGACCTCACACATCGGAACCGAGATCGTTGGACTTCAGCTGAAGGACCTTACAGACCAACAAAAGGACGAGCTTGGTCTTCTGATCGCTGAAAGAAGCGTGGTGTTCTTCCGTGATCAGGATCTCTCGCCTCAAGAGCAGAAGAAGCTGGGCGAGTATTATGGCGAAATTGAAGTCCACGTGAGTAGTTCTTCCCCAAAGACGCTTCACGCGCTAACATCGAGTGAAGCCGCAAGTTCCATTCGTACCCGGTGTGCCAGGGGTGACGGTTCTATGGCCCGCTCTGCAGGCGACGGAAGTGCCAGCCAGCTTCCGGAAGACGGGTGGTGCATCTAGATGGCACACTGATCTGGTACACGAACGCCAACCTGCCGGGTAAGTGATAGTATCTTGGAAGGATGTTCATACCTGACCCTTTTAGCGTAACCCACCTTCACAACGATACCATCCCAAAGATCGGAGGTGACACCCTCTGGGCTTCAGGCTATGCTGCGTACGAGAAGCTTTCTCCGGCTTTCCGAAAGATCATCGATGGCAGAGAAGCAGTGTACCGCAGTGCGCACCCGTACCTTGATCGTGATGATCCTAGTGCTGGCCCTAAGCACATCGAACGCGTTCATCCGATCGTTCGTGTCCACCCGGCAACCGGTTGGAAGGCTCTGTGGGTCAACCGCGCCTTCACAGATCGCATTGTCGGATTAGACAAAGCTGAAAGCGACGTCATTCTCAACTACCTCTTCGATGTGTACGAAAAAAACGTCGATATCCAGGTCCGGTTCCGCTGGACGCCAGGAACTTCGGCATTGTGGGATAACAGAATTACAATCCACAACGCGAGTTGGGATTATGGGGGAATTGAGCCGAGGCACGGAACAAGGGTTACATCGTTGGCGGAGAAGCCGTACTTCAAGGCTGATGCGCCGACTCGCAGACAAGCATTAGGCCTCGCAGGACCTGAAGATGTTTAGGGAATAGACAGTGGATGTGTGAAGCTGGACTGTAGCAGAGACGCGTTCCAGGGCGACGGCGCGCGAGCTGGCTGCGCTAGTTACCACGCTATCCCTATCATGAGCAAGCGTCATAGGTCTTGGCATGGCATCATCGACCCCTTGATGCTCCTCCATGCAAGCGGCCAACGAGTATCCATAGGCAAATATTATCATTGTTCGATTACCTGTACTTGTCCTTTATCAATATCAGCTACTCACAGCTTTTGCAACTTCTCAGCATTCCGGCACGCGAACATATCCATCCCGAGGTCTCAACTGGGCAGCGTCGCTCAGAACCTGTGTTTGCGCCGACTTCTCCACGACTTCTCCACGAAAACCCCTCCGTCCGTATCCGTGCTGAAGGAATAATTCACTGAACAGATGATCCTCGCGACTGGGCTCACCTGCCTACGCTCTCAAACGGCCTTACAGTGAAGAACGCACTCGTCGTGCTCCAGATGGTCGTCTTCCATACCCGATCGAACGTTGTATCGTTACGTAGTCCCGTCGAACCGATTCGGTCAATGAACCTGGGCAGCCCTTCGCCATTGTGTTCGATTATGAGCTTCAGCTTGGGGAAGCGATCGAACAGTCCCGCGCTGTAGAGACGCAAGACGCGCGCTCCCACATCGACATGCCAACCCCACGATTTTACCCCAATTCTCCCGCCACGGCGGCTGGGTAGTTACCCACGAACAATTTGGATGCGATATCTGCGGCTGGAGCAGCAGGGTGCAGATGCAGCGGTACATGGAACTTCTGCGCCATGGCGAAGAGTAGGTCGAAGCGTGCAGTGTAGTAGTACGTCTCGCCTTCGAGATGGTCCCACATCATCGCGCCTTTGAGCCGAGGGTTGTAATGCCGCGGTTTAATCCTGCTGCAGCTTCTTCTGGTAGGGTCATAGGCAGTACAGCAAATCCAGCGAATCGTTGAGGATACCTTCAGCTACTCCCACCGCACCAACACATGAATCTACGCCATGGCGATGATGTCTGCTGTTCCGAAGTCATCACCAGGACTGCGCCTATGATCAGCAGAATAGGGCACACCACAGCGAAGAACACCCAGAACTTGCTCTCTCCTGGCAGGAAATCACCCCCCATAGACATGATACCCGCAACCACGGACAAAGGCACAAAAAGCGTACCCAATACGGTGAGCCAACGCACAGAGCTGGCTTGCGCATTACTTGCCTGTGCCTCTCTTAGCGCGATGATCTGGGTGTATGAATCGGTCAAATGCTGGAACATCTCCTGTAAATCGATACAACTGGTACGCAAGAGTCGCCATATCTGCGCCTCTCGTTTGCCAACAAAACCATAACTTTGCGCATCTTCGACGTCGATCCCCAGAGCGCGCATGTTGGTCTCGACTTCGAAACGGTAGAGGTACAGGTCCGTTGTGAATTTGGCCATCGTCTCGAAGAGCCACTCTTTCCAATCCGCTCCCCAGCGCACTGTGCGCGGCGCTGAAGTACGCGTATCTCCAGAATAATGCGACGAAGAGACTGAGAAGAGCGCCGCTCGTGTATGGCCGTAGCTTCTGCGAATGTGATTCAATTCGGCGGTCCATTTGCTGATCACAAAACCACGCAGAAAGGGCGTTACAGATAGTGGGTTCCCTCCTGGACCGGTATTGGCCACCAAGAAATGAATTAATATGTCATCGTGCAGGACGTATTTTGTGAAGGCCGCACTAGGGTGCCATTGCAGCGGATGAGGGGCCAAGTCAGATTTCTCGTGATCTTCCAGTTCTGGATATCGAATTATACGACTGAGGTTCGGATATGGACTGCCTTTGATAACAGCGAGATGGGCTGGGTCTTTGATGCATGGGTCAACAAGCGTCAGGCCTGCAGGTGTACCATGAGTGTCTAGACTGGATTTAGCAAGGTAGGAATTCTGACTGACCTTCCCAGCCGCCTCCTGGCAGCATATGGTACCAGTATGTGACTTGGCTCTCCAGCTCAGAAATCTCGCCTCTTGCGTCCCACTGATCATATTTAGTCGGTGTTTCCAGGTTCCTCGAAACGACGAATCGTGGATTTGCGCTCTGGTCCCTCAGTCTCGCGTTCGGCTTGAGCCACGTCGGACATTTGGACGGGTCAGAGTTTTGTTTGGCAGATACATGCGGCATGAGTACTGGATACCGAAGCGTAAAACTTCTTCTTTTACCAGGCGTGTGGAGTTCTTCATCATCACTTTCGTAGTCGAGGCCGTCGGAGGTGCTGGTTTGGATTATCGAAGGGAGACTATTAATGTTGTCCGATATCGTGCTGTTGCCCCCGGTTGTATAATGGCGCGCGAAGACTGTAGGATGGATACGTAGCCTTGATCCTAACAGGCAGATGTATCGCACAGGCATATCTTCCAACAAGAACAAACGTCTGAATGGTGAGTCGCTTGTTGCCGACGCTTCATCAATGTAGTTCTCAAATTCTTCGAACGCCGCAAAGGTCCTCGAGCGTAGACCATCAGTTAGGAATTCGATAATCGATATACGTGATGAGACTTCTTCGACAGTAGTCTGAGATACCATGGCCTGATACAATCCACTGTATTCTGCTGCTTTTCCTTGAAGAGCACGAGTGGCGTATTCGCGTATCAAGCATAGGTATGCGAAAGATCGATCATCCATGGAGTTGATAAAAGCATCAAAGTCTACCCTTGTTTTCGATAAGTCATCTGTGAACGCTGGTTGTCGTTCTTGGCTGCCGTCCCAAGGCACGGTAGAGGTAGCATCAGGTGGGAACTGCCGATGTCGCCAGGTCGACTTCGGTGCGTAACCTCTGTGCTGCATCTGTGCTGTCTGAATCGACTAGTTGTACCCTGCAAAAGGTCGCTTCGCTTCTGGGTGGTCCAGGTAGTATTGATCCGCCAGATCCGCTCCTCCTGGCGCGGTGTGAAGCAAATGCGATGCAGATACCCACTTGATCTGTGTCGTGCTCTTGCGTTCAGGCTTGTCTCTTCTTCCGAAAGCCGCGAGTATTCTCTCTACAAGGCCTTTCCTTGAAGGCTGCGTGCTTGTTGCGATCGAATCCACCCTGAGAAGATATCCAAACTCTCTTTGTACCGCGCCGTGCTCGTTCTTCAACGAAAATCCAGCCCCTACGATCCGCGAGCGTTGAATGAGATCAGCATCTAAACTCCGGTCCGCCGTGAAAATATAAACGTCGTCGACGTTTGGCCCGTCCACAGCTGCGCTACCGCCGTTGTAACCACCGCGGCCCATTGCCCGGAGCAATTGTGTGAGATTGATAAGTCTGCGGAGGAAGTTGAGGAGAGATGTGTTCTGTCTCCAATAAGGCAGAATTGCGCCTCTAGACCAAGACACAGCAACGTGCAGGGCGCTTGGACGTCGAGAGACGTCGAGAGCCAATGGATCACATCTCGGCTGCCTGATGATCACATAATCTCACCTCGGCAAGCATGATTTTCAGCTGGGTAGCACAAGTTATAAGACTCAACATGAAATGCAGGTTCACTTATCGCTACCTAGGTATGCAGAGAGAGACCCAAAGGATACCATTCGTAACGCCACCAAGCTGTGCTTGACCTGCGACATGGAGAAAGGCCAGCCCTGGTAGCATTCTTACCTAGGTAGTTTTGTTCCCCGGCTGAATGCCAGCGTTGCGGTACAATAAGCGCAGCCCGAATTCACATATAAGTGGGTGCCCATCGATATCGCACATGTACGCACTCGGGTAATGTAACACTAGCAGCGCATTCCAATATTGTGCTGTCTAGAATGGGCTCGCAACTCCAGCGTGAGTGGCACAGTCGCGGTGCACGGTGAGTGGCATTGAAAAAGCCGCAGACAATTTTCTGTATGACAAAACATATGTCGTGCTCGACGAAGAAACGGTCAGATCAAAAGTCGTTCGTCAGGCTGTCGTACGATTGTGTAAGCAATTGAGTGTTTGTTCTTGTACTATCCGGCCTCAATTCACTTCAAGTCGTTACGATGCCATAGTAGAGTTACTTGCAGCTGCCACGGTGCCTCCATCACCAGAATTCGTCCCCACGAACACCACCAGAACCGCGGCATACGTCGCTGTTGAGACAAGCGCTTCGACGTTAGAACTTCGGACTCCGAATGAGAGTGCAAGCGCGAACAAGAACACCGCCAGCGAGACTGTGATAAGACTCTTCTTTGGCGATGCTTCAATAGCCATGATCAGCATCGGGACGATGAGGAACAGGCCACCTGTTATCGCTATCAGGAAGCGAGCGAGGTGATCGACAAATGACGAGACATCTTTAGGTTCCTTGCCCTCTTCATATTCCAGGCCACGAGCTGATCGCTCGTCTTCGGAATACGTGAAGTAAACAGGCAATTTCCTCATCAAGAAAGCGCGGAAAGGGTCGATTTTGGGAGTTCCTTCGTCATAATAGGCGTAGTGAGACCAGAAAACGTCGCCACTCCCAAACCTAGGCTGGAAGAATGCTTGCAGCAAGAATCTTCTCTGATTCATGTGTTCCGTCGCCACGCTCTTTCGACTGCGAAAGAACTCATAGTCTCGGATCGCGGTGACTGGTGTTCTGTCAGCTACACAAATCTGGGGGGTTTCTCGCGCTCCTACTAGCTCGTACCATAGTCTTTCAGGGTGTGTTTGAGATCATCAAGGTCATCAGCTGAGACGTCTTGTGCATTCTCGAACTTCAGCTTGAGTTCGAATAACTCCAGCTGCTGTGCAACGATATTGGTCCGCTGGAGCCTCTCGAATCGTAAGAAGTGAAATTCCTCCTCTTCTTCTAGTGAACGCGCAACATATTTTAACAAGTCGGTGTTGATTCCTGGGTTCCCCATCAGCGCGCATCAGGATGTAAGCTGACAGTCCTTGTTTGACGGGCGGCGGCCTGTATTTTAAAGCCCGGCATCCAATGCATTTTCGAGTTCATGCATCTCAGCCGCAGCCCCCGCTTCTGCGCACCCCCTCACTTATCAGACATCGCTCCTACAATATATGGAGTCTCACTGTCAATAACAAGCATTATGGGTGCCTTTCTTGCAACTCCCGCACCTGGGCGTGAAGGTCTGCCTGCGCTTCCGAATACTACTGCAGAACACAGCGCAGCGGGTCGCTCGGTTCGCAGAGTATCAAATCCCGCATCGATTACTGGCAGAGAGATAGATCGTCTGCTTTCATCTCATACGCGCGTTCTCCGATCTGCGATGAAGACCCCACTCTTCCGTCCAGGCAGTAAGAGATATGAAAGGGGCCTGAACGATTACAGTGCTGCCTTGGGACGGTTGGAGGCGAGACTGTCAAATCTGTTCGAAGCACTATTGGAGCCAGGCCGTGTTATGGAGTTAGAAGATTGGCAGAGTAAGTGAAAGGAACCTGCGAGTGCAAGGAGTCGCACGTAGCTGACGAACAGTCAGAGCTTGACGGGAAACTTGTCGTCATATATGCGGACATGAAGACAGCCTTTAAAAAGGCTGAGCAGAGGATCAAGTCCAAGATACATAACACCAAGATTGATGATAGTACCGCTGAAGTCAAAAAGTTGAGCAGCAAAGTTAAAAGACTCCTCAGTCTGGTTCCGGGGAGAAACGTACGTAGGGCGAAACGCGGACCTAGCGACCGACGCCGCCGATAGACTCACCTGTAGCCACACGACTGAGCGGACCACCTTTCTCTAGCAGCTTCCCTTGTTTTTCGGTCCTGCTTGCAGATCAGAGAGAAAAAGCTGCGTTGATTGACGACATCTTTTCGTCATAGAGAACTTCGAGTATCACGCTTAATTCTGCATATGATAATCTGTTCTTGCACTACACAGAATGCGCACTTTGTCACTTTACATAGTAGTCCTCAACTCGTCACCGCAATGCATCCTGTAACTCCACCCATCGCGCAAGCACTATGCCGCGCCTCGAGCGTCGACACTAAACATTTGCAAAAGTTTCTTTTCGCTTCCAAGTCCGGGTTATCGCCTGCAAGAACCATAGTATCGAGGTCAGCGAGTAGCTGCTTATAGATGCGCATCTCGGCGGCTGATGGAACCATCTCAGCCGCATTCTGTATATGATGTGCAAGCACGGTGACGAGCGCTGCGATAAGATAGGGATATACCATCCTGTGAAGAGATCAGTATATGTTAGAACGAGATGACGACGCTACTGACCAGTATAAGGCAACATTGCCCCTAGGTGCTACTGGCAGTAGACTCAGCAGCCGTTGCGCCTCCAGATATGCTTTGTGTTGCTTCATCTTCGACATCCTGATCAAGCCGTCCAGCTCGAAGGGGTTGGTCTCCGAACTCATGTCCATCGCCGTGAACGCATGTAGTCGATATACAGTTCCGAAGTAGTAAGCCTCCAGTGCAACACAATGACAGATATCTGCTCGATACAATATTTGTTCCAACTGGCTAGCAGAGAGATGAAAGATGTGATGTTGCTCGTGAAAGGCCTGCAAGCGTGCGAGCACGATGGCTGTGGCGGCGCTTAGGTCTAGCGGAGTCGTGTTACTTGTCTTGCGAGAGAGCACCTGGTCGATGGCTTCGGTCTGGAGTAAGGCTATCCTTGTGAAGAGCCAGAAGATATGCGCTCGCCAAGTACCCTCGGTCGCAGTGAGGGCACCGAGCTCGTCGGCCACAAAGTCGGAGCAGTTGGCTACGTCTTGGAGCTGATGTGTTGGTTGTGTGTTGCTTAGGATGCTCAGGCTAATGTCGTTGGTGAAGCAGATCCAGAAAACGCGACGCTGGTGTGCGCCGTTACTGAGTTCCTGCGCCGTTGCATTGCTTTTCTTGCCTTCGTTGGCCAGACTTCTGATAACACGGAGGGCGGTGGAGACGAATTGACCCGCTGGCTTCTTATTACTGCATGGGCTGGCGACGATGAGTAACGCAATACCGACAAGGCATTGTACCTGTCCTAGGGATGGCAGCGCTGTGAGAAGAGTGTCAAGTGTGGAGTAAGCGCGGGCAAGGTAGTACTGAGCCATGTCCATGTTATGGCTGTCACCAGTCGAACTCATGCCACGCATATGATGTGCCATGCCAAAGACGATGTACGCACTCGTCCAAGCGATTGCTGAATCATCAGGCAGCCCCGCATAGCATGTCCGAAGGTGGTCGGCAATGACATGTGGTTGGTAGAGTGGATAGGCAGTATTTAGGTCAGTCAGGAACTCCGCAAGCAGTGTTGTTCCGAGCTCCGGGGGTGGCAGATACCAGTCACTCGTTGGACTGGTTACTATTGGCAGCGGTGATAGACTGACATCCTCCGTCGGCCCCGTCCCGAATTGTGCAGCTTGCAGGAAAGCAACATCCTCTTGGAAGTTGGCGGAGGAATAGATGCCTTCTAATGGAGCCTGCAAAGAGGGATCTAACGTCGAAGAGTCGTGACTAGAACCGCCGGTAGACAACGCGCCCAGGTCGTCTGCAAACAAACCGTCATTATCTGGTAGGAAGCTTTCCATGTCAAAAGGGTCGAAGTCTGGAAGCAGGGGATGTGGGCCAGCCTCCACCTCATGACGCAGCGAATCTACCCACGTTGAGATTGGGGGTGAATGTTCTGTTGTTTGCATGACCGGTTGTTGGCGCACGTTTGGTTGTGCCACGTTCCGCTCGTGTAGCAGCGACTCTAGCCTCTTGATCCGATCCTCATACTCAGATATGCGGTTGCTGAATCATCGTCAATGACATTTCCATCTGTTTAATGCTGCCAGATCATACCCTCTTTGCGGTTTCGACCTTTGTTTGCGCGTGTACGTGGTCATGCACGTCTCTTTCAGATTGGTGCACGGCGAGCAGCCCTGAGGACCGTGGTTCCACACGCATCTTCGCTTCCGTTTGCGACACAGATCACAAGCCTAGAAGACGCGTTAGTCTGCTGGTAGACGCGTGTTGACCGCTCGAGATGCGATGTTCGATGCTCTATAGTTGCTGGCGGTTGTCGTGGCAGAGTCGCGTCTCGAGCGGATGCAAGGACCCGCAGGCGGCTAAGCCGGATAAATGCTAGCAAACCTACTTACTCGCACCGTGGACGCAGACCCGCGTTTCTCGACGCCACTACTCGACATCGTGAGTTGCCTGATGGTATAATGAGACCAAGGTCTGCTGACATGCTGTTCGGTCTCATGTCTCTTGTCGCTAGCAGAATGGCCGATCCCCGCCGCCCAGTCCGCTGACAAATCTAAACTAGTCACCACTGCCGCCATACAAAGGTTCACTTTCTCCAAACGAACACTACCACACGCCGGTAAAGGCTATGATGAACATTGCAATCAATGTTACAATATCCTCATTGACTAATGATTGATTCCAGCTTTAGTACTCAATGATAGATGCGTTTGCTCAAATCCACAGGCCAAACGCTCCTTCCATGTTTCGCTAGTACGCGAGACCGAGACCGAAAACGACCCATTACATTGGTGCAGCAACCAGCTTGCGCACATCGTATTTCTCGTGCTTCTTCACAGTATCACAACTCCATGTACCAATCCTGAGACTAGTAATTTCTCCTCACGCAGGCAACGCTCTTCGTACATCGGCGAGCGAAGAGATGGAGGTCATTGGGGGTGCGGAGAACTTCTGGCTATACTCCGAGAAGGAAGGCTACGACATAACGCATCCCGCCGCGCCCAATAGCCCCAAGGTCTACCCTCGCATGACACTACGCACACAGGACTCGCATGCTATCATTGATCCCACCAAAACTGCGCTAGTAATCGTCGATATGCAGAACTACTTCCTGTCCCCAGCATTTGGCCGGCCGTCGAACAGCCTGGGCCTGCAAGTCGTGGAAAAGCTCACCAAGCAAGCGATACCAGCTTGCAGGAAAGCAGGTATTCCAATTCTTTGGCTCGGTTGGGGTCTCACAGAAGAGGATATCGAGACTATGCCCCCTGCGATTGTCCGCGGCTTCTCAATGGACACAAACTTCGAGGGCGATCGTGAGGTACCTGGTCTTGGGACGAACATCGGGCCCGTAACGCTAGATGACGGATCTACAGTCGAAGGCGGCGCCGTTCTCATGCGCGATCAATGGATTTCTAATCTCTACAGTACATTGGAGAGTTTGGCCCACCCTGATGATCTAACAGTTTGGAAGAATCGACTGTCTGGATTCTGGGGAGGGACCAATGTCGAGAGTGTGTTGAAGGCTCGCGGTATCCGGACGTTGATCTTCGCGGGCTGCAACACAGACCAATGTGTTGCTGCCAGTTTGACCGATGCGGTCTGGAAAGGTTGGGATTGCCTCTTGCTGAGCGACGGAACTGCTACAACCAGCCCAAAATTTGCACGAGAGATGGTTGAGTTCAACATGGGAGGATGGGGATTTCTGCTGAGCTGCAAAGATCTCATTGACGGTGTGGACACATTGGAAAACAGCCCGAGTGATGGGGCTTGAATGCCTCGATGTGCGCAGATACAGTGTAATGAGTGCTAGGAGATAATGCGTCCGGTAGCCATCAGCAAATAGAAGAATTGATCGAGTTCGGACCTGCTTCGCTGCTCCACCAGCACTCATGATTGCATGCTGGCGTCATGTACAATCCGAACATTCGACGATATCGAATGAACTTCACCCAAAACCCTGGACACGAATTCGCCGTAGAGATGGGACTGGCAAATCGCAGGTGATTTGATAGTGATTAATTTGATGTGCGGCAGCCTTCCCAGAGTCGAGATGAGTTTGCTCATCTCCGCTTCGTATAATCCCCAGCTGAGCAGTCGTGGCTGTATTGACGATGATGGTGTGAATGCGTGTGGGCATAGAACAGGTCGAAGGTCTATATCTCGAATCGCAACTGATATATCGGTGACATGCGAGAGGAGATCGTCAGGTGTTGCGTCTAC